CCACGAAACCTTTGTCGAAAACAGAAATTTGGCACATGAGATTGGGCCATGTCAGTGAAAGGGGTCTGGTTGAATTAGGGAAACAAAATCTGCTTGGTGGAGATAAAGTCGAAAAGCTGAAGTTTTGTGAACCCTGTGTACTTGGAAAGTCCTGTAGAATGAAGTTCAACAAAGGCAAACAAAGAACACATGGATCCCTTGATTACATCCATGCTGATCTTTGGGGACCTGCAAGGTGTCCATCACATTCAGGAGCAAAGTATTTTCTATCCATAGTAGATGACTATTCCAGAAAGTTATGGGTATTCATCCAGAAGACTAAGGATGAAACTTTTGAGAATTTCAAAAGTTGGAAGACTCTTGTCGAAAATCAAACTGGCAGAAAGGTAAAGAGGTTGAGAACCGACAATGGCCTTGAGTTTTGCAATGAGGCGTTCGACAGGTTTTGTGTTGCCTCTGGTATTGCAAGGCACAGAACTACCGCAGGTACTCCACAACAAAATGGTTTGGCTGAAAGGTTTAATCGAACTATTTTGGAGAGAGTTAGATGCATGTTGACTAGTGCGGGATTAAAGAAGGTGTTTTGGGCTGAGGCTGTTTCGACAGCAGCATATCTGATAAACAGATGTCCTTCGACAGCGTTAGATATGAAGACACCTGAAGAAGTTTGGTCGGGACATCCACCAGATCTCGACAAACTAAGAGTATTTGGCTGTGTAGCCTATGCTCACATTAGGCAAGACAAGGTCGAACCTAGAGCTCTGAAATGCATGTTTATGGGATACCCTGGAGGAGTGAAAGCTTATAGGCTATGGTGCCTAGAGCCAGGTCACAGGAGGTGTATCACCAGTCGAGATGTAGTTTTCAATGAAACTGAAATGGCTTTCAAGAAAACTGATGATGTTGACGAAGAGCTGGAACAGGTAGAGATTCCTGTTGAGGTGGAGCATGTTGATGCTGAAATGCGTATCCCGGATGAAGTCGAAGAAGAAACTGAAGATTCTGATGATGTTGAGGAAACTGTTGATGACTACCTATTGTCGAGAGATAGGCAAAGAAGAGTCATAAAACCACCTCAGAGACTTGGATATGCAGATCTTGTAGCTTATGCCTTAATCTCTGCAAGTGAAGTTCTAGACGAAGAACCTAGAGATTATAAGGAAGCTATAAGGAGTCGAATGAAGACTGAATGGCTAAAGGCCATGCATGATGAGATGAAATCTCTTCATGATAATCACACTTGGGAACTAATCGAGAAACCTGTTGGGGCAAGGTTAGTCAGCTGTAAGTGGATTTTCAAAGTTAAGGAAGGAATTGAAGGAGTAATGTCGAAGAGGTACAAGGCAAGATTAGTCGCAAGGGGTTTCACTCAGAAAGAAGGTGTCGACTTCAATGATGTATTTTCCCCTGTTGTGAAGCACAGATCCATTCGAATGTTGCTTGCCATGGTGGCTCAGTTCGACCTTGAACTGGAACAAATGGATGTGAAGACTGCGTTCTTGTATGGTGACTTAGATGAAACGATCCCGATGAGGCAACCTGAAGGGTATGTCGAAAAGGGGAAAGAAGATTATGTGTGCAAACTGAAGAAATCTTTATATGGACTTAAACAATCTCCTCGACAGTGGAATAAGAGATTCGACAAGTTCATGGAACACATAGGTTTCATTAGAAGTCAGTTCGACCACTGTGTTTACTCCAGATTTCGACCTGAAAATTCATTTGTTATTTTGTTGCTTTATGTTGATGATATTCTGATAGCAAGCAACAATGTCGAAGATGTAATGAGGGTGAAGGATGAACTCAATAAGGAGTTCGTCATGAAGGATCTGGGAGCTGCATCTAGGATTCTTGGAATTGACATTCGAAGAGATAGAAAGCAGTCGAAATTATGTTTATCTCAAGAAGCATACCTACGAAAGATTCTTGACAAGTTTGGTATGTCGAATTCAAAGCCTGTTGTGACTCCAACAAACCCTCAATTCAAGCTGAGCATTGATCAATGTCCCAGTACTGATGTCGAAAGAACCTATATGAACAGCATCCCATATGCTAATATAGTTGGTTCTTTGATGTATGCTATGGTCTGTACTAGACCCGACATAGCATATGCAGTAAGTCTTGTAAGCAGGTACATGGCGAATCCTGGAAAGGCTCACTGGCAAGCGTTAAAGTGGATTCTAAGGTACATAAATGGGTCTCTGAACAGAGTCTTAATTTATGGTGGAGCCTTGGGTGAAGATAGGAAAGCAGCTGTCGAAGGCTATGTTGACTCTGATTATGCAGGCTGTATGGATTCCAGAAAATCTATTTCTGGATATGTTTTCACTATGTTTGGTACAGCAATTAGTTGGAAAGCAACTCTTCAGAAGGTTGTTGCCTTATCAACTACTGAAGCAGAATATATTGCCCTAACTGAAGCTGTGAAAGAAGCATTGTGGCTTGAAGGTTTTGCAAAGGAACTGAAACTTCAAGGTCAAGGTATCACTGTTAAATGTGATAGTCAAAGTGCAATACACCTGTCGAAGAACTCAGCCTATCATGAGCGAACCAAGCACATAGATGTGAGGCTGCATTTCGTCAGAGGGGTAATCGAGCATGGAGAAGTCCAAGTGCTGAAGGTCTCGACAGAACACAATGCCGCTGATATGATCACCAAAACATTGCCAAGTTGCAAGTTTTTCCACTGTATGCAGTTGATAAAGCTGCATGAAGAAAGCTAGTTAGTGTCTCTTGATGCTGTAGAGTTAGGTCCAAGGTGGAGATTTGTGGGATTTTGGATCGAACTCTAGCATGATCGAAGTACATGCTGTAGTCGAAGCATGTATTTGTCGAAGAATGCTTGTTAAATTAGGTTTTAGTGTTTAAAACCCTAATTTGTTAAGTTAGCTTGATTATTAAGTTAGCTTGTATAATGGGCCTTGTGGAAAAAGCCCATTAGTTAGTATGTTAGGTTTTATTATAAATAGCATACTAGTCTCTCATCATTGCAACACAGCAAATCCTAATTTAGGGTGAGAGGGTTATTTGTTATTCTTGTAAACTTGTAATCTTGTTTTCTAAGAGAAAGTAAAGAATAGCAGTTATAACCAATTCTTGTGTTCTTCTTCTTCCTTGTTCTTTATTCTTCCCTTATTCTATACTTTGTTATTGGCATTGAATTCACAACAATTGCTTTAACTTACACAAAGAAGAGATCTCAACCTTTAGATGATGGATATCAGCGAAGATATTCATTCAAAAGAGAAAAGCTTTGTTGCAAATAATTTATTTTAATATTTTGTGTAAAATGTATATATATATATATATATATATATATATATATATATATATATATATATATATATATATATATATATATATATATATATATATATATATATATATATATATATATATATATATATATATATATATATATATATATATATATATATATATATATATATATATATATATATATATATATATATATATATATATATATATATATATATAACAAACGTCACATCGGTTTTTAAAAATAACCGAGGTGTAATCTGGCATTTATAAAACAAATTTTAGCCTAATTCTAACTGATATGTATCTGCGACAGATAGAGGAGATATTTACCACTGTCCATTGCCATGAAAATTTTTGATCTAGAAACTCTTAAGAACACATCTCTGAAGATCATGAAATCTCTAAGGTTTCTAAAGACTATGAGTTCTCAGAGGATTCCACCAAAGATATGTTGTAAACAATTTATTCCCAACAACTCCTTATAGTAAAGATTTGTTTATCTCCAAGAGTATGGATTTGTTGTAATATTGTGTTTTAAAGTTATTTGTAAATTATGTAAATTAAAAATAATTTTAATAATAACCTTTCACCTGGGATATTCAAAAAACCAAAGGGATATTTTAGCGTTAATTTTGAGAATATTTGTCACTGTCCTTAATCATATCCTTATCGTCTATTTTCATCACTATCAACGTTCAAGACACTTCCATTAGTGATCCGCGTGAAACCTAAATAACTTCCATTATAAGAGCAATATGAATATCAAAAAATTCATAATACAACATCATGAAGTGTTTGAAACTATCCTCCACTTAAAGATTTGTAAGAGTCATGGTCATGAAGAGTTCTCTAAGATGGATTGCAACAGCAGAAAATTATTTGGGTTTAAGGTTTGTGTTCTTAAATGTTTATTTGAACATAAAGTTATTTATTTATCTAACCTTTTTTTTATACGAGAAACAAATACAAGGAAAAGCACTCGAAAACATATTGTTTTCAGCAATTGATCTTCTCATGGATATTAAAGATTTGAAGATCCAACATATGATCTTCATGGACAACTTTGATTTTTATTTTGATACTCTGTGTAAATAATGTAACCATTTTAACAGTCTGGGTAAACATTGTATTTTGTAAATAAGTTACTTTATTAAGTTTCTATGTAAATAATGTAACCAGTTAAAATTTTTTTAAAAAATATACTACTAATTTACTCCTTGGTTTTATTAAAAAACCGAGATACATGGTGCTATTATTGAAAATAATTAAAATGCAGACGTTGTAGATCGAACCCATGCGCTATTAAAATATTCCTTGGTATTTTAAGCAACAAGGTGATTAGTCTTTACTTTTCATGACGACCTTATTTACTCGCTTTCGATACCGAATTAAAACGTATTTCGCATTCGATATTACAAGCATTATTTGTTATAGTAAATTCGATATACTAATGTGAATGAATATGTATTTTACTAGTTTAATACTTTAAAAAGAAAGGAAAAAAACTAATTTTGTAAAATAAAAACTTGTGCTAACAACTTACTAGAATTCAAATGTGATTTTTCCATCACTATAAAAGCATCCCACTTATGTTACATTTCTAGATACTTTTTTGCTTCATATTTTTCCTTTTGCCTCTGAATTCATAAAAATTTCATCTATATCCAAAAAGATCCAATACAGTATCACAAGCCTAAGCCACAAAAATTTGCACATTCATGGCTCAAATTTCCAACTCTTCAAATTCTTTCTACAACTTCATTGTAAAAGATGGAAATGGGATCAAAGGCTTAGTAGACTCAGGTTTATCAGAGGTTCCAAAAATATACATACAACCCATAAATGAAAGAATCAACAAACAAGACTCAAAACCATGTGATACACCGCCTATTGATTTATCAAAACTCAATGGACCAGAACATGAAAAAGTGGTGAATGAAATTGTTAGAGCAGCTGAGACACTTGGGTTCTTTCAAGTAGTGAATCATTGTGTTCCTTTGGAATTGTTGGAATCAGTTAGAGATTCAGCACACTCTTTTTTTAATATGACCCCAGAAGAGAAAGTTGTTTACCGCAATAGTGCGAGTCCAAGTTTAAAGATGAGATATGGGACTAGCTTTGCACCTGAGGTAGAAAAAGTGTTGGAATGGAAAGATTATATCAACATGGTTTATAGTAGTGATGAAGATGCTCTTCAATATTGGCCTCATATGTGCAAGTAAGTCTATCTACTTTATCAAATATATTTTTGATAATTTTCTTTTTATTTGACCCTCCTTTTAATTTGTGAAATATGTAATTTTTTTATTATTATTATCAAATTTTTTTTTTTTTGTTCTTGTTTGAATAGTTAAATGGTTTGACTATAAAAATATTTTATTTAAATTTTATTAAAATACATGAGACAATTATGATTGGTGAATACGCAAATTTTTTTTAACCATATTATATTTTATTATATATCTATATATTATAATTTTCTTTGAATATCTCTATTTTTTAAATTTGATATTTCATTCAATTAATATAATTTCGTTGTACATCTCTATTATAATATGAAACATTAATATTTATATGACAATCATAATTTGAAACATTAATAATATGAAACATTTTTAATTTATATATTTTTTATATATTTTTATTAACTATTATTATATTATATTTATTTATTATTTATAATAATATTACGCGACTCGTACGAACACACATGTCTCTTATTGATTTTAAGTAAATTGATGTAAACTGTTAAATTAATATTCAATTTATAATGATATTATTTATTTATAATTATGTATTAATAGGATTAAGTTGTTGATATTTATAAATAAATAATTTTAAAAAAAATAACTTAAAAAAATATTTTAAATGTGTCATTAATTATTGGAATATGTGAATAATATTTCTTTTTAATTTCTTAAATATACATCCAATTTATTTTACCTTCACTAGTTCAACATAAACCGAATAATAGTTGCTCTAAAACAAAACAAGAAGGACCACAAAATGCTTATACAAAAGATTGACCACAAAACAGCAGATTTATTATAAATCATTGGTTTTGTTTTTATAAAAATTAATTCAATCAATTAAATATGATTTATTTTATATAATTTTTTTAATAAAATATCATATACTTAATAAAAAATGATATATGATATTATGATACAATATAAATAAATAAAAATTGACTAAAAAAATGTTAGCATTTTATATACTAAAAAAATGTTACAAATATTTATTTTCATTAAAAAAAACATGAAACAATATTATGATGAATGAATATACAAATTTTTTATGTATATCAATATTTTCTTATCCTTTCATATTTTAATTTTCCCAATATATTACTATATATCAATATTACTCTCTAAATTATTTAACGCACGGATAAATTTCTAACTTAATAATCTTATTTACTATTTAATATATTGTCTTAGCTTAGTTTAAAACAAAATTTAATATACTATATATCATTTACATTTATATATGTCCAACGCACATTATTCTCTAAAATCTAAAATAGATTTATTTTCATTATCGCATCAACAAAAAAAAGGCGGGAACGCCATAATAAGGCTCCATTAATACCGCCTCCGCAAAAAAGGGTGGAACAGCCATAATAAGAGTGTGATCTCAATTTTTTTTTGATAATACATAATAAGCATATTATTTATATTTTTATTGATTTTTAAATTAAAAATTATATTTTTCTGAGATAAAATTATAATTAAGAATAATAGTTAGTTACCTCAAATATTATTTCAATTGATTTATCTAAATTTATTATAATCAAATTATTGACTAATTATTTGGTTTTTATATTATTTAATTTATTTTTTCTACTAAAACATACATATCCAATAGATCGAAATAACATGATATTTCATGTTATATTTTTATTTAATATTAAGAATATGTAAATTAAAATTTATACATATTAATATATATATATATATATATATATATATATATATATATATATATATATATATATATATATATATATATATATATATATATATATATATATATATATATATATATATATATATATATATATATATATATATATATATATATATATATATATATATATATATATATATATATATATATATATATATATATATATATATATATATATATATATATATATATATATATATATATATATATATATATATATATATTGTTCTGGACTGGGCCCGACAGGCCCAAAAGCATTACTAAGGTCCAATCCAAAAGGACTTACGGAGGTCCACGCCGGGCAAAGGAGTCACATCCGTGCCCGACATCCTGATGTCCAGCTCGACATCCCGCTGTCTAACCCACGTGATGATGTCCAGCTCCACCTCCTGTCGTCCAGCTCGACGTCCTAACGTCCAGCTCGACACCATGTCGTCCAGCTCGACGTCCTAACATCCAGCTCGACACCCTGCTGTCCAGCTCGACGTTGTCTCGAGCATCCCAACTAGGGCAGACTCAGTCCACCGTTCCCCCAACGATACCCCGGAAAGACCGCGTCTTCGTCCGCCCGCACTTCACGCAGCACATCCAGGAAGGGGACCACGTGCGGGTCCCCACTACCCACGTAGAACCTGGCAGTTCCTCCATTGGGCCAAATCCGCCCGGCCCAATGAAGGAACCTTGGCCCAGCGCTGGGGGCTATAAATACCCTCTGTTTCCAGAGGGTCAGGTATTCATCATTCTAACCTCAACTCTATTATCTGCTCGTACTCCCACTGACTTTAACATCGGAGTGCCTTGCAGGTACCCCCCCTCCTCGTTCAAAAAGCCTTCAGCTCGGAGCAAGCCGTGACGGTCCAAACCTTCTGATCAGGTCAGATCAGTGGCGCCGTCTGTGGGAATAATGGAAAATGGAGAATGTGTGTTGACTATACCGACCTCAACCGGGCTTGCCCGAAGGATGCTTTTCCTCTATCTAACATCGACATGCTGGTCGACAATTCGGCCGGCTACAAGACTTTGTCGTTCATGGACGCCTACTCGGGATACAATCAAATCCCAATGGCCCTGGGCGACAAACGCTGCACGGCGTTCATGACCAGCTCGGGCAACTATTACTACAACGTAATGCCCTTCGGACTGAAGAACGCCGGTGCGACTTACCAACGCATGATGAACAAAGTGTTCAACAAACAGATCGGCGACATGCTCGAGGTATATATGGACGACATGATCGTCAAATCTCGAGCAGACACCGATCACGCAGCTCATCTCAAGACTGTCTTCGCCCAAGCAAGACAATGCAAAATGAGGTTCAACCCCGAGAAGTGCACGTTCGGGGTCAAGGCAGGAAAATTCCTCGGATTCTATCTAACAGAACGAGGGATTGAAGCCAACCCCGACAAGTGTCGGGCGTTCTCCGACCTCCCGACACCAACGTCGAAGAAGTCGATACAGATCATGAACGGCATGTTGACGTCACTATCATGCTTCGTCGCGAAGTCCGCCCAGCACGCCCTTCCTTTTTTCAAACTCCTTCGAAAGGAAGCAGCCTTCGAATGGACCGAGGAATGCGAACACGCACTTCGCCATCTGAAGCAGAGCCTGTCTCAACCGCCCGTGTTGTCTCGACCAGATGACGACGAGCCACTATACCTATACTTGGCAGTATCAAACGAAGCCATCAGTGCAGCTCTTGTCCGCGAGACTCCTGACGGGCAGAAACCTGTCTACTTCACGAGCAAAGCCTTACAAGGCCCCGAAAGCAGATATCAACAGATAGAAAAGGTTGCTCTGGCCCTCGTCAACGCTGCAAGGAGGCTCAGACACTACTTTCTAGCACACACCATCATCGTGCGAACCGATCAACCGGTGAGGCAACTCCTGGGTCGGCCAGATATGGCGGGCAGAATGCTGAAGTGGTCCCTGTAACTCTCTGAATTCGACATTCAGTACGAGAGCAGGAAAGCCCTGAAAGCACAAGCCTTGGCCGACTTCGTCGCCGAGATGACCCCTAACGACATTCCCCCGGGAAAGGAACACAAATGGACCATCTTCGTCGACGGAGCCTCCAGCGCGTCCGGAAGCGGCGCAGGGATCCTCCTCGAAAACGAAGAGGGTGTGGTAATCGAGCACTCCTTGGTTCTCTCCTTCCCGACGTCAAATAACCAGGCAGAATACGAAGCCCTGCTCGCAGGACTGAGACTAGCCGAGGACCTAGGAGCCCGTGAAGTTCAAATTTACACCGACTCCCAACTCGTCGCTTCCCAAGTACAGGGAAGCTACCAGGCCAAGAATGACAACCTCATTGAGTACTTGAACTTAGTCAAAAAACACATGGCAAAGTTCGTACGAGCAGAAATCTCTCACGTTCCCCGCGAGCAAAACACGAGGGCGGACATACTGTCCAAACTCGCGAGCACACGAAAGAAAGGCGGGAATAAATCCGTCATCCAGGAATCTCTGGCACGTCCGAGCATCGAACCACCCTCGACTACGGTCGAGGTCCACGCCATCGGGGACGCCACGTCTTGGATGACCCCGGTCTATAATTTCCTAACAAAGGGAGAACTTCCGACGAACCAGGCCGACGCTGCCATAATAAAGCGGCGAGCATGTTCCTATGTTGTTCTCGAGCAGAAACTGTACCGAAGGGGATTCTCCATTCCCCTCCTGAAATGCATTGACGAGTCCTCCATCCCCGACGTACTGCGGGAGATACACGAAGGCATCAACGCCCAGCACATGGGCGGTAAATCCTTGGCAAGGAAAGCCCTTCGAGCAGGATACTACTGGCCGACGATGCAACATGACGCCAAGGAACACGTGAAAAAATGTGACAAGTTCCAGAAGCACGGAGATATGCACCTCGCCCCCCCGCACGAGCTGAACACATTGTCGTCCCCATGGCCGTTCGCCTGGTGGGGCATGGACATCCTCGGGCCCTTCGTGCAAGGGACCTATCAGAACAAGTTTCTAATCGTCGCCGTGGATTACTTCACGAAGTGGATCGAGGCCGAGGCACTCGCAAAAATCACCTCACACAACATCCTCCGTTTCTACAAAAGAAACGTGCTCGCCAGGTTCGGAATTCCGCAGGCACTGGTGACCGACAACGGTACCCAGTTCACCGACCACGGATTCCGAGACTTCGTCACCAAACTGGGGACCAAACAACACTTCACCTCGGTCGAACATCCTCAGACCAACGGGCAAGCCGAAGCCGCTAACAGAGTCATCCTCCGAGGG